AATTGCTGCAAATGCTGCTGCAAAATTGCTGCAAATACTGCTTCAAAATTTTGCGCAAAAAACTGCAGAAATTTCTTAGCAAAACTGCTGTACTCTGCTGCAAAATTTGGGGTAAATACTGCTGCAAATATCTGTAAATATTGTGCAAAAACTGTGCAAGTACTTTTCAAAACTGCGTAAACATGTACAAATTACTGCTGCAATTATTGCTGTAATTTGTTGTAAATTCTCATGCAAAACCGCAGCAAGTTCTGGGAACAAATACTGAGTAAATACTTCTGCAAAAATTTCTGTACTCTTGGAAATTTGTTGTAAATACTCGCAAATATTGCTAAAAATGCGCAAATAAGCAGAAAATTAATGTTGTAAAAAAGCAGAAATATGATGTAAAACTGCGCAATACCCCAATAAATACGATGAAAATTTTTTTCTGCAAAATTTTCTGAAATATTCCCGCAAATACTGGAAAATGCTGCTGCAAAATGTGCAGCAATTACTGCAGCAAATAAAGCTGTAAATACGCTGCAATACTCTTTAAATACGCAGCAAATCTACGTGAAATCTGCTGTAAATATGCAGGATATTTGGGGAAATATTGCACCAAATATTTCAGCAATTATAAAGCATTTATGTTTCAATACTGCTCCAAATATTGCTGTAAATACTGCGCATATACTGATGTAAATACTGCTGCAAAATGTGAAAAACTGCAAAAAACACTGACTAAATACGCAGCAAATTCTGTGCAAATATTACTTCAAATATGCGTAAAAATACTGTATCAAATACTGTTAAAACTGCGTAAATACTGTGCAAATGCTGGTGTAAATAATGCTGCAAATGCTAAGCAAATATGCTGCAAAAACGCTGCAAAAAATTGCTTTTAATACTCAAATATACTAATGTAAATACTGCAGCAAATATGCTGTAAATATTGCTGCAAATATGCTGTAAATCGCAGCAAATACCAGCCAAAAAAAGCGCAAATACTGGTGTAAATACTGTAGCAAAAATACTGCTCTAAATGCTGCAGTAAATACTGTACAAATGCGCTGTTGATACCACAGAAACATGTTGCAAATATTCCCCTTAAATGCGCAAATACCCCACCGTAAATACGTAACAAAAAGTCTCCAAATCTGCGCAAATATGCGTAAATACTGTGTAAATATTGCTGAAAATACTGCATAAAAACAGCTGTATATATACAGCATTCTACTGTAAATACGCACAAATTCTGCGTAAATAGCTGTAAATGTTTCTGTGAATACTGCAAAAAACACTGCTATGAAATCCCAGCAAATCTACTGTAAAATGCAAAAATAATCGGAAATACTGCAGCAATTTCTGCAGCAAAAAATGTTGTAAATGTGTGCAAATACTGCAGAAAAATTTTCAGCAAACATGCTGCAAAAACCACAGCAAATATTGCGGAAATATGCTGTAAATACTGCGCAAGTTACCCTGGAGTTTTTTGGAGAAGTTCCGGGGGTCAACGCCCCCGCCGCCCGGCTGTACCAGGCCTACTGGTGGACAAGCCCCCGATCAACCAGGCGTTGCTGTGGATGCCGCAAACCAACGTTTTAGCCACACCCGGGGGTCAGGAAACCCACTTTTTGGTGCTTGTCCAGTGCCAAACTTGAAGACTGCCAGGGGGTTTTTGGTAATCCCTTTGTTGTGGGAGGCAGTTGAAAAAGTCTCGGGCCCCTGACACTTTTGTAGGCTCTAAAGTTAGTGACACCCCTGCTTTTCATTGGGGGGATGTTGAAACGTCTCCCAAGTCTTTTGCTTTCGTATGAGTGTTTTTCGTGTGCAAGTTCGTACTTTCCGTCTAGGATTTTCCCGGTGTATATAATCATGTATCTCTCCCCCCTGCGTTCCAGGGAAAAAGGGTTTAGGAACCTCAAGGCCCCCATAATTGGGGGTGTTTTATCTCCGTTAGCACGCCGTAAAGGTTTCTGTCTTTTTCTAGGTCAGCAATTTACCTGCCTTGAAAGGTGCTGTTGTGTGCAGCAATATTAGCCTAATAGAACAAGTGACCGAAGAGTGTCATAGGGGCTTGGCCCTCCCTAGTTTTAAAGGTTCTCTTATCCACCCTGTCATTTTTTCTAGCAGATGCGATTATACAATGTTATGGCCCTTGAAGGTGAATCCTCCACATGATCACTCCCGGTCTTTGATTTGGGTTTTTTCGCTCTTTTTTGTGGCCAAATTTGTTTTGTACTCTGATGAAGATTTAATTTCCTGTTTACCATATTTGGTAATTTAAATTTCCATCGTTGAACTTCATTTGTTTTCGGCCCCCGAAAGATTTGGTTTGTCCCCCTGGAGCCTTTCGTGTCGCAATGGAAAACTGTCTGCAGTTTTGGGTGCATCTGCAAAGGAAGCACGGTGCTGGGGCTGACATCCTTTTTCTATGTCGGTATGAGGATGAGGAACAAAAAAGGGGGCGAGTATGGCCTTGTGAACAGATTTTTTTACCGAGCGCCTCGGACTTTACTCTGTGACGACTCTCTCTTGTTTCTGTTAGGAGGAAATCATAATTTCGACCGCTTTTTCCCGTTAAACCCTTTTGCCCGCATTTTGTGTGTATTATCCCTGGGGCCCCGTCGAGGCTTTTTCAAAGTTTAATATTTATCTGCTTTTTTTGTCTCTAGTCATTTTGGACCTTGTCGTAGGATCCAATAGTTAGAAAAACAGGAGCGACCCGTTCAAACCCCCGTTGCCCGGTTGTTTTAAAAGAGGTTTTTAGATGGTGGTGATCTTTCTTTTTAGGACCCTTTCAAAGATTTTTATGATATGGGATGTTAGTGCTATTGGTCTGTCGTTCTTTGCTGTTGCTTTACTGCCCCCTTTGTGGAGTGGGGCTATGTCTGTTGTTTTTAGTAACTGTGGGACGACCCCGTGCCCATGCTCCCTCTCCATAGGATGGAAAGGGCTCGTGATAGGGGCTTCTTGCAGTTTTTGGGATGAACACGGAGTTCCATGAGTCGGGCCCCTGGGGCAGAGTGCATGGGCATGTCATTTTTCGCCTTTTCGAATTTATTTGGGCAGGATACATCGGATAGGCTTGTGTTAATAAAATTTTTTGGCTCTCTCATAAAAAAATTCATTTTGATCTTCGACTCTCAGTCTGGTTAGCGGTTGCTAAAAACTGAGTCATATTGGGGACTTGAGTAGTCACTCATTTCCTTGCTGTCTCTGTGTAGGACCCATCTTGTTTAAGTAGGGGCCCAATTTTCTGGACGTTGTTCTCGATTTTGATTTGGCATAGGAGAAGAAATACTTTGGGTTTCTTTCGATTTCATTTATGGCTTTTAGTTCTTCCCCCGATTCCTGACTCCTAAAGGATTCTTTTAGCTTTAAATTCGATGCTTGCTATTTCTCTGACCAGTGTCTCCCAAAGCATTTCAGATATATTGACCCTCTTTAGCCGCTCTGGTTTTCTTTTCCGTCGCCTGTAAAGGGAGTGCCTGTCTCTTTTATTTTACATCTACTCCTCCTTTTTCTTAGAGGAATAAGCCTTGTGCATACATCGAGTGCCACGAGTTAATTGTTCTAGGCATAAGTTGGGGTCTGTGTTGCTTAGTATATCTTCCCAGCTTATATCGGTTAGGACTTGGTTTACTTGGTTCCCACTTTATGTTTTTGTTATTGAAGTTGAATTTGGGAATGCTCCTCGTGACTAATCTCATTATGTCGGTTTTGGGGCTCCACGCATACATGACTGAACCTCAATTATGTTGTTATCTGAGTATATTGTTTTTGATATGGTGACATTTCTTATCAGATCATCATTGTTAGTGAAGATGAGGTTAGTGTATTCTTCCAGTCTAGTAGGCTCTATTATTGCTGGTTTAAATTGAATTTTTGTGCAGAGATTTAAAAGCTCGCGTGGGGTGTGAGTTTTCATCAGAGCTGCCTCCTGGTGTTATTACTGCAACAATATTATTTGCTATATTCCCCCATTTTAGGTGCCTTAAGTTGAAATCCCCAGGAGCAAGATGTTGGGTGCAGGAGCTGGAAGATTTTCCAGACAGTGGTCAATTTTTAAAACTGTTCTGGAATGCTGGGATGTTGCATCCGGAGGCTTGTAGACTACCACAATGACTAGGGTTTTTGGTTTTTCGACCTTTACTGCTAAAACTTCACTAATCATTTGAGGCATTTAGCATTCTGTGCAAACAAGTGACTCTGCAATGTACAGGCCAACCCCCCCCCCCTTTTGCCTGTTCACTCTGTCACTCGTCTGGTTTAACCTGGGTCCATATTTTGTTGTCCCCGTGATCCTTTATGTGGGTCTCAGTGAAAAACCGCGAACATTGCCTTTGCCTCTGCAAGCAGTCCACGGATGAAAGGTATTTTGTTGTTTGTTGCTGGCTTTAGACCCTGTATATTTGCCAAGAAGAATGTTATCGGACGGGTGGTATTGTTGGTACTAGGGGGGATTTTTTTTCCGGCATTAGTATCTGTATCTGTTGGTTTGGAGTGGAGGCCATCGACTGTGGTTCCACTCCAGGAATGACTGGATTTGGTGTACGATTTCTGCCATTTCCTGCCAGTTTTTTTTTCCTTTCCCGGGCACTAAAAACCTCTCCCCTTGAGTGGCTGTGGCTACCCAGGTTTTCCCATGGCCTGGATGTTTTGTATTTTTGTCCCCTTTAGATGGTATGCTGGCAATTTAAGTTATAGCACAGTCTTTCTGTACTGAAGAGGTAGTACATATACCAACAAACTCAGTAATAAATATTAAAATATTAAATGAAGGATATTTTTTACCATAGTCTGCAACAATGTTTCAGGTTATGGTAAAACAACAACAAAATCTTTTCCCCAGGCTGAGGGACTGACCACCTCAAAACTGTCTTCAAGGTGATGGACTGATTACATTTTCTTTACGTCTCTACTGCTCCTGTCAACTTTTCTGTACTCGACTGAAGAAAGCTTATTATGAAAGTGAGACGTTTTGGAATAAAGACACCTAAGTGTTGCACATGTGTCTTACCAAACTAAGTATAATGACTGGAACACAAAACCAAAGAATCCGTTATTGTCGGCCATACCAGGAGGTGATTCACCTCATTTGTCATGACTAAACTAAAACAAACGAATGATGGAGGGGAATAGTGCTTTTCGTATTCGAATCAAAAATTAATTTTTCAGAAAAAGATTCTATGGTAGTACATTGGATTTTTCTGTTTGTGTTGGGGTTACTGATTTATTTTACTAAGTGATTTTTTTTTCTAGCATATGTCAATTAATCATTTATATTGAACTATATGGAGGTTATGACACTAAAAAAAATTGAGAAAATCTTGGGTTTCCCATGCAGAAAAGTGGCAGTGTGCCGCTGTTTACTACCAGATGATTCGAGGAATATTTCAAAGATTATAAATAAAAGTCATATTCTTAACTGGTATTTGACCATCAGGTATAAAATACTACGTAACTACAAAAAGAAAATGATAGCAGCAGCACCTCCAGACTCCATGGCAGCTCTATCACGTCTCAGTATTGATGGAACTCAAGTGGAATTCGGAGATCGGATCTAAGACAGTCCAAGTGTGAACCTTAACTTAAGACACATCTTATATAAAGCTTATAACAAACCTCAAGTATATCCAGCATAATGAACTTCTATATGTCTCCTCATGTACATACTATCATGTTCTCCCAAAAAATAATTGTCTCTCTTCATTACTGTATTTGCTGAAGATCTCTTAATGGGTTATTCACACAATTCATATTTCAGTCCATCTCACCTCCTTAGTTCTTTACACATCCAAGAAGACAAGGACAAGAAGACAAGGAACATTAATTTTGTATACATAACACAAACTTAAATATTCAAGAGACATCAACGACCAAACATAAATTACACATCATCAACAGAACATACAAACCTGCAGTACTGATAATGAATGACTTGAGGCCGTAGAGGTTCCTGGGTGAGGCTAAGTCACCTGTCATACCTTGACAATACTGGCGAGCATCAGGCCAGTTAAGTGAGATAGAACTCACATAGAAGCACTCATCTACCACTCTGCTGTAAGGGTAAGGGCAACAAATCTCTGGAAAAATAAAATGATAAAAATGAAAAGACGTCGTTTTACGTTCATTTCATAAAACTGTTATTTGGGTTAATTTGATCTTTTCATCTCTCAACAATTTTTTTTTAGTATAAATGTTTCAGGGCCTCATGAATCGTGAGTTAAATCATTCATTTTCAAATCCATCAAGATACTAGACTTTCCACTTCCTGTCTATTATATACGACATAACAAAAATGACTCCCGCGAAGCTTACATCATTTTCTTGTTATGAGCAGAACTTTAGATTATTTCAGTGCGATAGAAAAATGCTAATGCTTTTATTTTGTCATCATTGGTAATTAATGAAGGAATATTATTCGTATTTCATATTCCATTACAAATTACTTCACATAATATCTGCATTCTTTAAATAACACACTAACATTTCTAGTCTTAGAGTTGCAAGAGTACTACAGTGGTAAAGTTAACTGGCACAGTAATGAAATGGGACATTTATTTGTAAAATTAATGTTGATTTAGAAAATACGTGGCAATAATATGACAGATAACTGATATAATAAGAGATATGACTACCTTTTGCTTTTATAAGCATTTATAAACTTTCTGGTATGGAATCGACCAATGCTGAACACTTTTTGGTAAGTTCTTGCTCTTGGTACCAAGTCCTAATAACAGAAGCAATTATGGAATGGTTCAAAAGCAATTAGCTTCTCCATAGTTGAACAATCCTGTTTTGCGATCCTGCGTTTGGTTATTACCCATAGATTTTCAGTTGGGTTGAGGTCAGGAGAGTTTCCAGGCCAATTTAGAACACTTAGCCCACTCTCTTCGATGAATGTCATCATTTTTCTGGAAGTGTGTCATGGAGCAAGATTCTGCTGGAAAATACAAATGAGTTGCTAGGACTGCCTTGTATTTGTCGCTGTTGATCGTTCCCTCAACAGTGTTTTATCGCTTGTTAAATGTGTCCATTCCGAAGAGGTTTGCCTTTGCTCCGTCTCGCTACCACTAATCTGTACCCATGTACTTCAAAATGTACCACATCTGATAGTGCCCACTGATGCCATTTTTTCTTCAAAGCAGCAGTAAATAATTGTTTCTTTACCGTCTTTCTGGCAGTTCTGCCAACTTTAAGTAGTCTCGTCAAACTATTGAAGAATCACCATTAGCACCAGCTTAAGCCAAATCGCTCTGTAGATCTTTGCTGGTTTTCTTGGGATCTTTCAATTTCTTATGATAAGATTGTCATCATGACGTGCTGTCTTGGATTTTCTTCCACATTTTCTCCGTCGCAGCGCTTCACAATCACCAGTGTCGTCATCTCTCTGAATTCGACGAACAGTTGACTTTGCTAGGCTCAAATTTTCGGCGATCTTCCTGGTAATCAAATCAGCAAATTTTCAATGAGGTTCAAGGACATCAGTTCTGGGCGTATTATGCATTATGAGATTTCAGCAGATAATCATGAAATACAAGAGGTGAATTTAGTGAAAAACCAATTCACTCACAGCAGCACATTGCAAGAATAACATTTATGAACAACAGTGTTGTAGCAGTGAGGCAAGTCGCAGGGTAAACACCACAGTCGCAGGGTAACACACCACAGTCGCAGGGTAACACCACAGTCGCAGGGTAACACACAGTCGCAGGGTAAAGAACACAGTCGCAGGGATCCCCGACCCCCCACCCCCCATCGCAGGGTAACACACAGTTCGCAGGGTTAAAACCACTGTCGGGACAGGGTAACACCACGTCGCAGCGGTTAACACCACAGTCGCAGGTAACACCACAGTGCGCAGGGTAACACCACAGTCGCAGGGCAGGGTAACACCACAGGAGCAGGGGTAACACCCACGTCGCAGGTGTAACACCACAGTCGACAGGGTAAAACCACAGTCGCAGGGTAAACACCACAGGAGCTCGCAGGAGAGAAAACGTGCAGTCAGTAGACAAGGTGCTAGAGATATAAAAGTGCAGTAACAGAGAGTGTGTAAACGGGAAACAAGTTGCAGACGTTTACAGGTGCAGCATATGAATACAAGTGAAATAGTGAGTGCTGTTAGTGTGTAGTGGCCCTGCAGTAGTGGAGTGCTGAGTAGTGTAGTGGTTGCAGTAGTGTAGTGTGCAGTAGTGTTAGTGGTGCATAGTGTAGTGGTGCAGTAGAGTTGTGGCTTGCCAGTAGGGTAGTGATGCAGGTAGAGTAGTTTTGCCAGTAGTATAGTGGTGCTGTAGTGGAGATGGTGCAGTAGTGTAGTGGTGCATTAGATATAGGTGGTGCAGTGATGTAGTGGTTGCAGTGTGTAGTGGTGCCAGTAGGTGGAGAGTGCTGCAGTAGTGTATGTTGCAGCAGTGTATAGTGGTGCAGTAGTTGTAGTGGTGCAGTAGTGTAGGTGGTGCAGTAGTTTAGTGGTGCTGCAGTAGTGTAGTGGTTGGCCAGTAGTGTCAGTTGGCGCAGTAGGAAAGTGCTAAGTAGTGTAGTGGTGCAGGTAGTGTAGCTGGTTGCAGTAGTGTAGTGGTGCGCAGTAGTGTAGTGGTGCAGTATTGTAGTGGTTGCAGTAGTGTAGTGGGTGCAGTAGTGTAGTGGTGCAGTAAGTGAGTGCTGCAGTAGTGTAGTGGTGTTAGATGTGGAGTGTCCGCCAGTAGTGTAGGGGTGCTGTAGTGGAGGGCTGCAGTTGTGTAGTGGTGCAGTCAGTAGTGTAGTGGTGCAGTGTGTAGTGGTGCAGTAGTGGAGTGCTGCAGTAGTGTAGTGGTGTAGATGTGGAGTGCTGCTGTAGCTGTAGTTGTTGGCAGTAGGTGGAGTTGCTGCAGTAGGTGGAGTGTTGCAGTAGTGGAGTGCTCTGCAGTAGTGGAGGTGCTGCAGGTTGTGGAGTGCTGCAGTCGTGGAGGCTGCAGTAGAGTGGAGTGCTCAGTAGTGGAGTGTGGCTGTAGTGGAGCGCACTGCAGGTAGTGGAGTGTGCTGCAGTAGTGGAGTGCTGCATAGTGAGAAGTGCTGCAGTTTGTGGAGTGATGCTGTTGTGGAGTGCTGCAACAGTTGTGGAGTGACTGCAGTAGTGGGCGCTGCGTGTGGAGTTGATGCAGTAGTGGAGAGCTGCAGTAGTGCGAGTGCTGCCACAGTAGTGGATGTTGCTGCAGTAGTGAGTGGTGCTGTAGTGGAGTGCTGCAGTAGTGTAGTAGGTGAAGTTGTGGAGTGCTGCCAGTAGTGGGAGTGCTCAGTAGTGGGAGTGCTGCAGTACGTGGGAGTGCTGCAGTAGTGGAGTGCTGCAGTAGTGTAGTGGTGCAGTAGTGGAGTGCTGTCAGTCGTTGGTAGTGGTGCAGTAGTGCGAGTGCTGTCAGTGAGGTATGTGGTGCAGTAGTGTGTGGACTGCAGTAGCTGGAGTGCTGCAGTAGTGGAGTGCTGCAGTAGTGGAGTGCTGACAGTAGTGAGTGCTGCCAGTAGTGTAGTGGTGCAGTAGTTGGAGTGATGTGTAAGTGGAGGGTGGTGCAGTTAGATGGGTGCTTCAGAGTAGTGGAGTGGCTGCATTAGTGGATGCTGCAGTAGTGTAGGGTGCTGCTGCTGAGAGTGCTGCAGTAGTGGAGTGGTGCAGTAGTGGAGTGCTCTGCAGTAGTTGTAGTGGCTGCCAGTAGTGGAGTGCTGCAGTATTGGAGTGATGCGTAGTTGGAGTGCTGCCGTTGTGGAGTGCTGCAGTTAGTGGATGTGTGATGCATACAGTATGTGGAGTGCTGCAGTAGTGGAGTGCTGCAGTAGTGTAGAGTGTAGATGTGGGAGTGATGCAGTAGTGGAGTTGATGCAGTAGTGTAGTGGTGAGTGTAGTGGAGTGGCTGCGAGTAGTGTAGTGGTGCAGTAGTAAATGGAGTGTGCTGCAGTATAGTGGAGTGCTGCAGTAGGGAGTGCTGCGGTAGTTGGCAGTGCTGCTCGTTGTGGACGTACTGCTGCAGTAGTGGAGTGCTAGCGCAGTAGTGCTTGTGGTTTGTCGAGTAGTGGAGTGCTGCAGTAGTGTAGGGGTGAGTAGTGATAGTTGGTGCAGTAGTGGAGTGCTGCAAGTACGTGTAGTGGTGGTGCACAGTAGTGTCGTGGTGCAGGTTAGTGTAGTGGCTTATGCAGTTGTGTAGTGGTGCAAGTAGTGTAGTGGTTGCTGTAGTCGTAGTGGCTGCAGCCAGTAGTGTAGTGCGTGCAGTAGTGGACTAGCTCTGCAGAGTGTAGTGGTGCAGTAGTGTAGTGGTGCAGTAGTGTAGTGGTGCGCCAGTAGTGGAGTGCTGCAGTAGAGTAGTGGGCAACTTGCAAGTAGTGGTGTGCTCCTGCAGTAGTGTTGTGTGTTGCAGTAGTGTAGTGGTGCAGTAGTGTAGTGGCTGCAGTAGTGTAGTGGTGCTCAAGTTCGTGTAGTGTGCAGTAGTGGAGTAGGCTGCTGTAGTGTAGTGGTGCTGTAGGGTAGTGGTGCAGTTGTGTAGTGTGTGCAGTAGATGGAGTCGCCTTGCAGTGGCGCAGTAGTGGTGCAGTAGTGTTGTGGTGCCAGTAGTGGAGTTCTGCATGTAGTGGGTGACTGCAGTAGTGGAGTGCCTGCAGTAGTGGTGTGCTATGAGTATAGTGGAGATGCTGCAGTAGTGGATGGAGTGCTGGAGAGTTGTGGAGTTCTGCAGTCAGTGGAGTGCTGAGTTGTAGTGGAGTTCTGCAGTAGTGGAGTGCTGGAAGTAGTGGAGTTCTGCGTTAGTGGAGTCGCTGGCTGTAGTGGAGTTCTGCACAGTAGTGGGAGTGCTGGTGTAGTTGGAGTGTGTCAGTAGTGTGAGTGCCTATGCAAGTAGTGGAAGTGCTTTGGTGTAGTGGAGTGCTGGAGTAGTGGAGTGCTGCAGTTAGTGGAGTGCTGGTGTATTGGGAGGTGCTGTCAGTAGATGGAGTGCTGCAGTAGTGGAGTGATGCGTAGTGGAAGTTTCTGCAAGTAGTGGATGTTCGCAGTAGTGGAGGGCTGGAGTAGTGGAGTGGTGCAGTAGTGGAGTGCTGCAGTTAGTGAGAGTGCTGTGTAGTG